GCGCGCCGCCCTTAGCAGCCCGCGCGCCGCCCTAAGCAGCCCGCGCGCCGCCCTAAGCAGCCTGCGCGCCGCCCTAAGCAGCCCACGCGCTGCTCACCAGGCCCCAGGCCGCCCACGCGCCGTCCGCGCGCCGCCCTTAGCCGCCCGCGCGCCGCCCGCCAGGCCTCAGGCCGCCCACGCTCCTCCCGCGCGCCGCCCTTAACCGACGTGCCGCCCGTGCGCCGCCCTTAGCCGCCCGAAGCGCCGCCCGTGAGCCGCCCGTGAGCCGCCTGTGAGCCGCCCGTGCGCCGCCCGTAGCCGCCCGAAGCGCCGCTCGTGAGCCGCCCGTGAGCCGCCCGTGAGCCGCACGTGAGCCGCCCGTGAGCCACCCATCAGCCGCCCGTGAGCCGCCCGTGAGCCGCCCGTGAGCCGCCCGTGAGCCGTCCGTCCCGGCCCCGAGCCACCCGTGAACCGCCCGTGCGCCGCCTGTGCGCCGCCCGTGAGCCGCCCGTCCCGGCCCCGAGCCACCCGTGAGCCGCCCACCCCGGTCCCGCTCCCAGCCGCCCTCCCGCCACGCTGTCCCGGCCCTTCGACACCCGAGCCGCCCGTGCCACCCGCGTCACCCGAGCCGCCCGAGCCGCCTACGCAGCTGAGGAGCCGAGCCGCCTGAGCCACCTTTGCCGCCCGAGCTGCCCGAGCCGCCTGTACCGCTGAGCGCCCGAGCCGCCCGAGCCGCCCGAGCCGCCCGAGCCACCCGAGCCGCCTGAGCAGCCTGAGGAGCCGAGCTGCTGGTCCTGTGGGGCTGCTGTTGCTACTGGGCCGGCAGAGCTGCTCTGTTGCCGTGTTGCTGTGCTGCTGAGCTGCCCGACCCGTCCTGTCTGGTGAGCACAGCTCCACTGCTACCGCGTGCCCCTTCCCACACTGCTTGCACTGCTAGTCTGTCGTCATGGCTACCCCTAGTGTCCTAGCTTTTAACGCTGAGGGTCGCGCCATTGACTTTGAGGTCTGGGTCGACGACCTGCAGCTGTTCTTACAGTGCGATAGGGCAGACGGTCTTTCTCTCTTTGACCTCACCTCTGGCGCCGTCCCTGCCCCTGCTGCTGATGCGGGTACTCCTGCTGGGGGTACTAGTGCTGTCCCTACTGTTTCTGGCGTCGCCACGCGGCCCCGACCGTACTTCGTTCCGCTCCTGCAGCAGGTTCTTGGTCTTACACCTTCTCCTGGTCCTCCTCCTCCTCCCTTCGAGGGTCCACAGCCTGTCCAGTCACAGTCACAGCTACAGCCTGCCTCCCCTTTGCCTGCTCCTTCTCCCTACGCTGGTCCGACTGGAGGTCTTACTAAGCGGCGTGAGCCTGCGTCTCATCCTGCGTCGCCTGTTCGTGCTGCGCGCGCTAGTGGTCGCGGTTCGCGTCAGCGTCCTCCTCCTGTCCCTGGCACGCACCGGATGTCTCTGCGTCCGTCTACTGCTCCTCTGCGTGCCCCTTTGCCTTCTCCTCCTGCTTCCTCCCTTCCTCCTCTTGCCGACCCGGAGTCGGACTCTCTTCGTGCTGCCAGTCCTACTGTCACGCGTCTCCTTGCTACTGTCGTCACTGACCCTTCTTTCGAGTCTTCTGCTGCGTCTGCCCTTGTCACTGAGCTCGTCGACTTTGCTGCGCGCTGTCGTCTAGACTACGCTGCTAGTCTTGTTGCTGAGTCTGATTCTACCTGTCCTCCGTCCGTCGAGGGTGAGTGTGCCCTTGGCACGGACGTCCTTAAGGACAGGCAGGAGGAGGTCCAGTGTCTGGCTGCCGCTTCACCTCATCTCGCGTCTGTACTGCTCACCCCTGAGGGAGACCCGGATGCACTAGACATCCTGACTCCGCGCTCTTACGCGGAGGCGATAGAGGGTCCCTACTCCTCTCAGTGGCAGGCAGCTATGGATGCAGAGATGGCTTCCTGGAAGTCCACAGGCACCTACGTTGATGCTGTCCCCCCTCCTGGGGCGAACATCGTCAGTGGCATGTGGATTTTCAGGGTGAAACGGCCGCCGGGTTCTCCGCCTGTCTTCAAGGCGCGTTACGTGGCTCGAGGCTTCAATCAGCAGCAGGGAGTTGACTACATTCAGACCTTCTCCCCCACCCCGAAGATGACCACTCTTCGGGTACTGCTGCACGTTGCTGCTCACCGTGACTACGAGCTGCACTCTCTCGACTTCAGCACTGCTTTCTTGCAGGGCAGCCTGCACGAGGAGATCTGGCTGCGCCGCCCACCTGGCTTCACTGGGTCTTTCCCTCCTGGTACCCAGTGGAGTCTCCGGCGTCCAGTCTACGGTCTCCACCAGGCGCCACGTGAGTGGCACGACACACTGAGAACTACTCTGGCGGCACTTGGGATTGCTCCTTCTACTGCCGACCCGTCGCTGTTTCTGCGCACCGACACCTCTCTGCCGCCGTTCTACATCCTCGTGTACGTCGACGACTTGGTCTTTGCCACAGCTGACACTGCTGGACTCGCCTACGTGAAGTCCGAGCTGCAGAAGAGACACACGTGCACTGACCTGGGTGAACTGCGCAGCTACCTTGGCTTGCAGATCACCCGGGACAGAGCACGCCGCACCATTACCCTGACTCAGTCACACATGGTGCAGCAGGTCCTTCAGCGCTTCGGCTTCACGTACTCCTCGCCTCAGGCCACTCCTCTGCCTACTCGCCACTCGCTCTCAGCTCGGCCTTCGGATGAGTCCGTAGAGTCGAGTGGCCCGTATGCAGAGCTTGTTGGCTGCCTCATGTACCTGATGACCTGCACACGACCTGACCTAGCATTCCCTCTTAGCATTCTCGCACGCTATGTTGCTCCTGGGAGACACCGACCAGAGCACATGGCTGCAGCGAAGAGGGTGTTGCGCTACTTGTGCAGTACGTCGGGCATGGGGCTAGTGCTTGGAGGGCGTAGTCCAGTGGTCCTCACTGGGCACACGGACGCTTCTTGGGCTGACGACCAGGCTACGCAGCGGTCGTCACAGGGTTACACCTTCAGCCTTGGTTCCGGCTCTGCTTCGTGGCGGGCTACCCGCTCGTCTTCTGTTCTCGGCTCCAGTTGTGAGGCTGAGATCTACGCTAGGGCTATGGCTGCCCAGGAGCTTCGCTGGCTCACCTACCTGCTGACCGACCTTGGAGAGCCACCTCGTTCTCCTCCAGTCCTGTACGTAGACAACAAGGCCATGCTGGCCTTGTGTCGAGAGCAGCGACTGGAGCACAGGACAAAGCACATTGCTCTCCGCTACTTTCTTGCTCGTGAGCTACAGCAGCGTGGACAGTTGCGACTTGCGTACGTGGCCTCTGAGGCCAACACTGCTGATGTCTTCACCAAGGCACTTGCGCCTTGTGATCATCAGCGCTGCTGCACGCAGCTGGGTCTTGTGCCTGTCTTGCCTCACTTGCTCACTTCTTGACCTTGCTTGTACCTTCGCCTATATATACTCTTGCTCTTGCTTGCTCGACTCTTGTATATCTCTATATGTGATCTCACATGTGAACTGGCCTTCTGGCCTTTGAACTTGTGCTCGGAATGTGTGGTGACTTTGTGATCCACCCTGAGCTTTGCTTTGCTTTGCTTGACTGGTCTTGTGACCCCTTGTTCTCCCCCACTTTGCCTATGGGGGTGTGTCAGAACATTATAGCTTACTTATTTGTGTAGGCTATAGTGGGGTATCCCATAGGGGGTACAACACAATTAGGGTTTCCTATTTGTACTCACTTCGTTCATAGTCATTTCATTCTCGTTCTATTCTTCTCAACGCAAAGACTGAATCTTCCGCTGCGACCATGTATTTTTTTGTTTTTTTCCGCTTCCTCATGTGTGCAGTCCCAGTCAATGCTTTCCTTAAAGCCAAACTATTCGAAACAAGCCTCAAATTTGGGGAAATTAAAAAGGAATACACAGGGGGGTGAAATTGGCCCTAGTGAAATTGGCGAGGACTGTGTGTACACGAAATGCCCAGTACAGTTACCCTGTGTTTGAATCGACATCAGATTGAACTTGGCAAAGACGCTTCGCTGGCCTTTCCTCCAATCGCATGGGTTATATAGACAGTAAAAGGGCCAATGCAAACTTCGAATATCTGGAGCTTGCGTTGATGACAGCCCATTTTGAGACCCGAACAGTGCTTTTTTTTCTGCAGGTTTAACTGTTTCATGCCCGTTGTTGCCCGTGAATATCTGAAAAGGAACGAGGCTCTATAATCAACTTATTCAGTCACGCTCTTCGACCGAACGAAAGGTGTACTTGAGAAAGCGCCAAATCGCGGGTCGGCTTGGGGGATACGCACAGAGCATTCCGTTACGTGATAATGTAACGGAGGAACCAGACCAGACCAGAGTCAATAAATATGAAGTTTTTTGAAAGTGTGTAACACTTTCTAATAATGTATATTTCGAAAGCGAAGCTGCTTGTAATGCAGCAATGACAACGGCGAAGTGCTCTACGCTCTTCGCCAACTATATAGCAGGGGGTGGAGGCCATTTGGCCTCCACCCACGTCTTCGTTTGAAATTTCAAATGACTTATTGCATTCTCGTCCGACGACTTGGCGCTTCCCGTTTTCCTCAGTTTCTCACTTCTCTCATAAAATAGTAAGCATCAACTCAATTGACATGGCACAACGTGTTTCAGAAATGACTTGCGGGCGCACCCGTCCGCACAATAGGCGCGCTTGTTGGGGCTAATAAAGCGACAGTGCCATTGGCGCACGTGGCGACGAAATCGCCACAAGCACGCGTGGCGACGAAATCGCCACATGCGCGCGTGGCGACGAAAGCGCCACAGGCGCGCGTGGCGAAGCAATCGCCACAGGCGCTCCTGGCGACGAAATCGCCACAGGCGCGCGTGGCGACGAAAACGCCACAGGTGCGCGTGGCGACAAAAACGCCACATGCGCACGTGGCGAAATCGCCAGTGGCCCACGTGGCGTAAAAATTGCCAGCGGCGCAAGTTGCGCCAGTGGCGCTCATGGCGCCGAAATGGTCGAAATCGCCACTGACGCACATGGCTACGACATCGCCAGTGGCGTGCAATAACCAGGGGCTCGTCCAGCGGCAGTCGGCACCAGCAGGCTGGCGAAATCTCCAGAGACAAACTGGCATGACATATGCTCTTCTGCTGCTGACATTGTCAGCGGATAACTTATTACCTTGCATATGTTTCCACATTTTCTTCGTACGTATCTTCGATTTTTGTTTGTCTTCGTTTTTCTCTCGTATTATTTATTACCTCTAGTCGCAGTAAATCGGTGCGAGGCAACTACCATAGCTTTGGGTGGCCATGAGAGACCATCGGCGAAGAAAGACTGCGGCAAACAATTGGCACAACCCCATGCGCTCCCGTGCGGTGCTGGCCAGCGAGCTCCCCAGGGGGGAGGAGGACCGGTGGGTCCTGTGCGGTGCTGGCCAGCGAGCTCCCCAGGGGGGGGGAGGACCGGTGGGTCCTGTGCGGTGCTGGCCAGCGAGCTCCCCAGGGGGGAGGAGGACCGGTGGGTCCTGTGCGGTGCAGGCCAGCGAGCTCCCCAGGGGGGAGGAGGGCCGGTGGGTCCTATGCGGTGCTGGCCAGCGAGCTCCTCATTGGGGAGGAGGACCGGTGGGTCCTGTGCGGTGCTGGCCAGCGAGCTCCCCATGGGGGAGGAGGACTGGTGGGTCCTGTGCGGTGCTGGCCAGCGAGCTCCCCAGGGGGGAGGAGGACCGGTGGGTCCTGTGCGGTGCTGGCCAGCGAGCTCCCCAGGGGGAGGAGGACCGGTGGGTCCTGTGCGGTGCTGGCCAGCGAGCTCCCCAGGGGGGAGGAGGACCGGTGGGTCCTGTGCGGTGCTGGCCAGCGAGCTCCCTAGGGGGGAGGAGGACCGGTGGGTCCTATGCGGTGCTGGCCAGCGAGCTCCCCAGGGGGGAGGGGGACCGGTGGGTCCTGTGCGGTGCTGGCCAGCGAGCTCCCCAGGGGGGAGGAGGACCGGTGGCAGGGCTGATTTTATCAGGGTAATTACCCTGATTTCAGGGTGATTTCAGACTTTCCACTTTGCGGAGACTGAGATTTCAGAATTACTGATTTCTCAACCCTGTTCAAATCAGAGTAGTAGTTTTCCTATCCCTGATTTTGAGTATAGTGTAACAGACTAGCCTGTTAGTGGATCCTGACTTAATAGGGTATCGAATCTGTGGTCCCTGATTTTGACCTTATCGAGAGGAAGGTTCTTGGAAATTTCCTTCCGATATCCCCCTTCGGTTTGATCGCAGTACAGCCAGCGCGTGAGCGATGGACAGCAGCATGTCTGACAAGCGAGTACACTCGATGTTTGTTATTTTCACGAAATGCGAATAAGTTGTTCCATTGTCGTAAGTGCGCATGCGTAAAGTTTCCAGAACTTATTTTGCGTTTCGCACAGCGATGTTGGCCACATTCAGGTATCAAATCGAAATGTTTGGTTGAGCGAAATCGCTCATCTCCTCCCCCCACTAAAACGTGTGCGTAAATACCATTTCGTAACACTATAAGGGTGGAAATTAGCGCGCTCAAAGTGTGCGCGAAACACAGAGCGCAAACTTTACGCAGAGGGAGACTTTTTACCCTGTAACAAAGGGCGCGTTACTACTCTGATCCTCGATTTTCGACCCTAAACAATCAGAGTTATATACTTTTCAACCCTGAGCAGTCAGAGTAGCATTATTCTGAAAAATGTGCACTCATAATAGAGGGGAAAAAATTTCCCCGGAATCAGTGAGGCCTAATATGAAACGTCAGCCCTGACCGGTGGGTCCCTTTCTGGCCTGTTGGCCATTTGTAGGGTAGATTCATGGTTGTGCAATTTAGTTACACTTCTCACACGCCTTAGGCTTTATGATAATTTTTGAAAGTGTAATGAAATGTAACACTTTCTAAAATTTTGTATTGTGAAAAGGGGTACGTGGCCAACACAGCAAAGGTAGCGCCCAAGCGCTACTCACCCTCTTTTGCCTACAAAAGAGGGACGTGGGGACATTCGTCCCCACCCACGTTTTCATTTTCAAAATTGTAGTTCTAATTTCGTTCTCGTCCACACTGGCGAAGACTCAGTCGCTTCCGCGCTTCACTGCCCCGTCAACGCTCCTTAACGACATCCTTAAGCGCAACCTCGCAACGATGGCTCCGGTCAACCCGGCACTTAACCGCGACAATTCGAATAATTCTAGCCCCGGTAACGCGGCGGAAACCTCGACTCCGGCCGGGACAACGGATCGTCGCGGCGGAAAACGTCCCGCCGAGGAAATTTCAAGCGAGGGACCCTCGGCGGTCGACCTCCTGCTCGGAGGCACCCTTCGGACCCCCCCTGAGGAACGCGCGACTGTTGTACAGTCGCGCGTGGCTGCTGCTGAAGAGCGCGTGCCTGGCAGGCACGCGCGTGCTGCGCAAAAGACGACGACCGCCGCTGACGCGGCGGTCGTCTTGACCGGCGCTGACGCGGGTCCATCCGGTCCCACGACCCAGAAACGCCAGTGCGCGGCACCCTCCGCTGACGTCACCCCGGTCAACGCCGCTGTGGAAAACTGAACGAGAATGAATCAACTATGAATGAAGTGAGTACAAATATGAAACCCTAATTGGGTTGTACCCCCTATGGGATACCCCACTATAGCCTACACAAATAAGTAAGCTATAATGTTCTGACACACCCCCATAGGCAAAGTGGGGGAGAACAAGGGGTCACAAGACCAGTCAAGCAAAGCAAAGCAAAGCTCAGGGTGGATCACAAAGTCACCACACATTCCGAGCGCAAGGTCAAGGGCCACAAGGCCAGTTCGCATGCAAGATCATATATAGAGATATACAAGAGTCAAGCAAGCAAGAGCAAGAGTATATATAGGTCAAGGTACAAGCAAGGTCAAGAAGTGAGCAAGTGAGGCAAGACAGGCACAAGACCCAGCTGCGTGCAGCAACGCTGATGATCACAAGGCGCAAGTGCCTTGGTGAAGACATCAGCAGTGTTGGCCTCAGAGGCCACGTACGCAAGTCGCAACTGTCCACGCTGCTGCAGCTCACGAGCAAGAAAGTAGCGGAGAGCAATGTGCTTTGTCCTCTGCTCCAGTCGCTGCTCTCGACACAAGGCCAGCATGGCCTTGTTGTCTACGTACAGGACTGGAGGAGAACGAGGCGGCTCTCCAAGGTCGATCAGCAGGTAGGTGAGCCAGCGAAGCTCCTGAGCAGCCATAGCCCCGGCGTAGATCTCAGCCTCACAACTGGAGCCGAGAACAGAAGACGAGCGAGTAGCCCGCCACGAGACAGAGCCAGAACCAAGGCCGAAGGTGTAACCCTGTGACGACCGCTGCGTAGCCTGGTCGTCAGCCCAAGAAGCGTCCGCGTGCCCAGTGAGGACCACTGGACTGCGCCCTCCAAGCACTAGCCCCATGCCCGACGTACTGCACAAGTAGCGCAACACCCTCTTCGCTGCAGCCATGTGCTCTGGTCGGTGTCTCCCAGGAGCAACATAGCGTGCGAGAATGCTGAGAGGGTATGCAAGGTCAGGTCGTGTGCAGGTCATCAGGTACATGAGGCAGCCAACAAGCTCTGCATAGCTGAGAGCGAGTGGCGAGTAGGCAGAGGAGTGGCCTGAGGCGAGGAGTACGTGAAGCCGAAGCGCTGAAGGACCTGCTGCACCATGTGTGACTAAGTCAGGGTAATGGTGCGGCGTGCTCTGTCCCGGGTGATCTGCAAGCCAAGGTAGCTGCGCAGTTCACCCAGGTCAGTGCACGTGTGTCTCTTCTGCAGCTCGGACTTCACGTAAGCGAGTCCAGCAGTGTCCGCTGTGGCAAAGACCAAGTCGTCGACGTACACGAGGATGTAGAACGGCGGCAGAGAGGTGTCGGTGCGCAGAAACAGCGACGGGTCGGCAGTAGAAGGAGCAAACCCAAGTGCCGCAAGCGTAGTCCTCAGTGTGTCGTGCCACTCACGTGGCGCCTGGTGGAGACCGTAGACTGGACGCCGGAGACTCCACTGGGTACCAGGAGGGAAAGACCCAGTGAAGCCAGGTGGGCGACGCAGCCAGATCTCCTCGTGCAGGCTGCCCTGCAAGAAAGCTGTGCTGAAGTCGAGAGAGTGCAGCTCGTAGTCACGGTGAGCAGCAACGTGCAGCAGTACCCGAAGAGTGGTCATCTTCGGGGTGGGGGAGAAGGTCTGAAAGTAGTCAACCCCCTGCCGCTGACTGAAGCCACGAGCCACGTAACGCGCCTTGAAGACAGGCGGAGAACCCGGCGGCCGCTTCACCCTGAAAATCCACATGCCACTGACGATGTTCGCCCCAGGAGGGGGAACAGCGTCAACGTAGGTGCCTGTGGACTTCCAGGAAGCCATCTCTTCATCCATAGCTGCCTGCCACTGAGAGGAGTAGGGACCCTCTATCGCCTCCGCCTAAGAGCGCAGAGTCGGGATGTCTAGTGCATCTGGGTCTCCCTCAGGGGCTAGCAGTACAGACGCGAGATGAGGTGAAGCGGCGGCCAGACACTGGAACTCCTCCTGCCTGTCCTCAAGGACGTCCGTGCCAAGGGCACACTCACCCCCGACGGACGGAGGACAGGCAGACTCAGACTCAGCGACAAGACTAGCAGCGTAGTCTAGACGACAGCGCGCAGCAAAGTCGACGAGCTCAGTGACAAGGGCAGACGCCGCAGAAGACTCGAAAGAAGGGTCAGTGACAGCAGTAGCAAGAAGACGCGTGACAGTAGGACTGGCAGCACGAAGAGAGTCCGACTCCGGGTCGGCAAGAGCAGGAAGAGAGGAAGCAGGAGGAGAAGGCAAAGGGGCACGTAGAGGAGCAGTAGACGGACGCAGAGACATCCGGTGCGTGCCAGGGACAGGAGGAGGACGCTGACGCGAACCACGACCACTAGTGCGCGCAGTACGAACAGGCGACGCAGGACGAGACGCAGGCTCACGACGCTCAGTAAGACCTCCAGTCGGACCAGCGTAGGGAGAAGGAGCAGGCAAAGGTGAGGCAGGCTGTAGCTGTGACTGTGACGAGACAGGCTGTGGACCCTCTAAGGGAGGAGGAGGAGGACCAGGAGAAGGTGTAAGACCAAGAACCTGCTGCAGGAGCGGAACGAAGTACGGCCGGGGCCGCGCGGCAACGCCAAAAACAGCAGGGTCAGCACCAGTACCCCCAGTAGGAGTACCCGCTCTAGCAGCACCTCCAGTAGCTCCAAAACCTCCAGCAGCACCACCAGGAGCACCACCAGTCGGACCTCCAGCGGCAGTCTCAACGTCAACACCCTCAGCAGCACCAGCTCCAGGAGAACCCTCAGACCCAGCAGCTCCAGCACCCACAGTACGAGCACCGCCGGGACACTCGGTAGCAGTACCCTCTGCAGCCGAAGAACCTCCAGCACCAGCAGCACACCTCCAGCGCCTAGCAAACCACTCACGTAGCTCCTGAGGGGAGAGTGGCTCTCGGCGAGACGAAGCACCTCCAGGCGTAGCACCCCCAGTCTCAGCACCCCCAGGCTCAGCACCCCCAGGCTCAGTACCCCCAGGCTCAGCACCCCCAGGCTCAGCACCTCCAGGCTCAGCACCCCCAGGCTCAGCCCCCCTAGGCTCACCACCTCCAGACTCCGCACCCCCAGGCTCAGAACCCGCAGGCGTAGCACCTCCAGTCTCAGCACCCCCAGGCTCAGCTCCCGCAGCAGCACCAGAGTCACCAGTGACCTCGACAGGCTCGACCGCGTCTACCTGGGACACACCTGAAGGGGCAGGACCCTGAGGGGGGAGGGGGTCTACCGGGGGGGGACCTGGTACCAAGAAGAGCGGGGGCGGGGGGAGGGACGGAGTGCGGTAGGGGAAGAGGCGGTAGTAGGGTACCGACTCGTCGAACGTGACGTCCTGGGAGGACAGAACACGTCGAGAGGTGGGGTGGTAGAACTGCCACCCAGGGGCGTCGGGGGGGAACCCCAGGAAGACGCAGGGAGCAGCGCGAGGGGACAGCTTGTCCGCAGACAAGTCGCGGACAAACGCCCGAG